GCGCCCTGCCCGCCGCGCTCTGACACCCCCGGCACGGCCTGGCCCGCCCCCCGAGCCCCGGCCTCATTTTCACACGGTCCTCCCCGGGGCCGGGGCGGGCGGTGCAGGGGGCAATGCTGCCCCGCCCGGCCCCCTCCCTTCCTCCTCCTCAGTCGTGGAGGGGGCGCGGCCGTGGTGGCCGGAGGGCATTTGTCGATGCTCCCCGTACCCCCTCCCTGCTCCAGCCCTCAGAATCTCGGTGCTCCGCCTGTTTGCAGTGTTCTACAACTTGACCCAAGTCCCCACTTTTGAGGACAAACGGTTTTTCTAGCCTGAAATATTCGGGCACAGAGCACCCAGAAAGTACCTGTATAGCTCAGAGTTATACATTCCCAGAGACCCAAAGCCACCTATGGGGCTCCCCTTTCCTTCCTCTCCATTTGGAAGGGGTGAGTGGGGATGAGGTGGGGGTGATTTCCAAATATTTGACTCTCCCATAGAAGCAACTCAGGAACACAGCTATTTGAGTGGAAAGGGTGACCCCAGGTTCCCTGCTTGCCCCCAGCACACACTCTGCATCCTTCTCCATACTGCCCAACCCAAATGCTCTCTGATCCCCCATCTGAGGGCACTGTCCTCTGGGCCCACCCAGCAGCACGCTGAAGCTGTCCCTCTCTCTGGTACGTTGGGCCCCAAATCACAGCAGAAAATATTAATTTCACTGAAAATCAGTTAAACATATCTTCAGGGAAGCCTAAAAGGTGAAGGGAAGGAAAGGCTACAGCTCACGGGTGTGCCGCCAAAGGGCAAGGGACACCTCCAAGTTTGCCTGAGGCACAGATGGCATCTATGGCCACCTGAACTCATAAACACCAGGTCTGGCCCGCTGCAAATACAGGCAGTACCTGCCACCTGGCCCTCCAAGCTGGACAGTCCTGACCAGGAAACACATGTACTGAGGCCACACCACCCTACCCAGATGACTAGAGCCCACTCCACTCAGCAGCACTCCAGGAGCAAATGTAACAAAACACCATACTCAGGGATGCTAACGTTCTTCTTTGAGCTTCTCTGTATATACTACATTTTCTTCTGTGAATATATGTGTGTGTGTAGACATATATCAAAAAAACAAACCCACTGCTATTGAGTCGATTCTGACTCCTAACAACCCTATCGGACAGAGTAGAATTGCCCTCATAGGGTTTCCAAAGCTGTAATCTTTATGGAAGCAGACTGCCACATCTTCCTCGAACAGAGTGGCTAGTGGGTTTGAATCAGTGACCTCTCAGCAGCCGAGCACTTAACCACTGTGCCACCAGTGCTCCTTTAAACACATACATATATATTCCTTTGGTAATCAGCAAAAATAAATGTCATAAAAAATTCCCACCTAGCTCATGCATAAAAACACATATGTCCCTTTGGGGCCCATCCACCACCCAGAGCTCCCACCCTCTGCACCCTCAGTACCCCTCATCTGCCTCCTCGGCTCCCACATATACCCATGGGACCCAGGTTAAGGCTGCTTCTTTGGGGCATTGCAGGTGCTGCTGCTTGATGAAGAATCTGAGAAAGTAACTTTTCTGTGGTGGTTTTTCTTTTGACCTTTTCATCCCCAGCGAAGGCAGGCAGGTTGCATCCCTTTTTCTGCCTTTCACTGCTCCCTCCCACCCGCTTTTGTTTGGTGCTGAGAGAGACACTCAGCTATTTCTAGTCATAAGGATGGTTTTTACACATTTGTAAATCTTCACTTAGTGAAACGTTCCCTCCTCCTTTGTCTTTGTGTCCTTAATCGTAGCCATAAATTACCGCTTTCTTTTTTCTCTACTGCATCAGGCTTCATTGCTTTTGAAACGATCAAAGTTATTTTCTTTTAAAATCCAACTATAAGCTGCTCATTGTATGGTGCAGACCTCTTTAACTCCAGTCAAACCATATAAATACATAAAGCTGCCCATTAAACTCTAGGGAAGCCTCCTCCACTCCCCTTGTGCTGGGTACAGAAATAAGACATGAGCTGTTCTTTCCCTTCACTGTTTCCCCAGATTTCTATTTCAGTAAGAATACAAATTAATAATAAGACCCAGTGCTTTTTTGCCTAAGAGGGTCAATTTTGTCAAGTTTCCAAGAAAAGTTTCACCACTGGTGCAGATGTCAAAAAATGTTCTGAATCCTATTTTGTTGCCCTGACTTCCATATAAGAAGCAGTCAATTCCCAGACTCCTGGGCAATCTTTCTGATACTTCAGATTAAAGTCAATACGGTTTTCAACTGGGAATTTCCACAGGGCAAAGGCTCCAAGGAAAAACTATGTCCAGATGTCAGTGTTTTCAGTGTCAGGAAAGACCTGGTCAGCCCTATGCTAGCTGCTGCCTGCCCTCTGTTGTCCAGCCAAGGTCTCCACAAACATCTCAGAAAGGCCACAGGCACTGTCTCTGGACTGAGGCTGAATAGTCCTTCCCCAAACCCCAGGCTGAAAGGCTGTGAACCAGGTCTTTAGGCCTGAGGGAAGAGGCAGCCCAGTGTCCCTGATTAGAGCTTCTAGCAAGGATGAAGAAAGACTGGAGGCTGAGGACCCTGGGAGTCCCTGCACTACATATGACCAGGTTAAGCTCTGCGTTCACCAGACACTTTTCAGCACCCATCCTTCTTGCCCTCTCAGGAGTCTCTGAGGTGTTGACTACTTCCCCCTCCTTTTGTAAATTCTCTCTCTGCTTGGTTTCATTCCGGCATAGCACTGTCTTGATTCTCTTTCTACCTCTCAGGAAATGCTTTCCTCAGCCATCTTCTTGAGATCTTCTTTCTACACCATCTCCTTGGATGGCTCACTCAAGTTCACGATTCCAAAATATAAATCTCCAGTCCAGATTCCTCCTATTAGCTTCAGTCCCAACTGCCTACTGATACTTCTACCTTGATCTCTCCCAGGCACCTCAGATTCAACTTGTCCAAAAGGAAGCTCATCTTCTTTCTCTCAAACCCACTCCCTCATATGTTCTCCCTCTCCTAAAGAAGGGCACCACCATTCCACCAGCATCAAGTCAGAGACCTTGTAGTGGTTCTGAATTCCATTCTCTGCCTTGCCATCACCACCAAGCAATCACATCAATTCCACCTTCTTAACATCTCTCAGAACAATTCTCTTTCTCCATGCCTGCTGCCTGAGCACATGTCCTCATCATCCTTCCCTTAGTCTGTGGCTTCTTACTGGTCTCCCAGTCTAAAATCTCATCCCCCTTCAGCACATCTTCCACAGTAGCAGTGAGAATAAAATGTAAATATCATCATATCATTCCCAGTCCTCCTCAGGCTAAAGTCAAAACTACCTGGGTACAACTACTCTAGAAAACTGTTGGGCAGTATCTACTAAAGCAAAACATATGCCTATCCACTTCCAAGTACAGACCCATGAGAAATGAGCATATTTGTTCACCAGAAGACATGTATAAGAATGTTCGCAATAGCTGTATTCACACTAGCACAAAACTGGAAATAACCCTATGAGTCTATCAACTAAAGAATGCATAAACTGTGGAATATTCATTCAATGGAAGACTAAGGAGCAATAAAATGGACAAACTCTGATACATGCAACAACATGGAGTCATCTCATGAACATTATGTTGAGGGAAAGAAGCCAGACACAAATGGATACAATTGCATAATTCCACTTCTAAGAAGTTTAAGAACAAGCACAACTAACTAAAGGCAAAACCAAAACAACAAAAACAGTTGCTGTCAAATCATTCAACACATTGCGATTCCATGTGTGTCAGAGTAGAACTGTGCTCCATAGGGTTTCCAGTGGCTGATTTTTCAGAATAGATCACCAGGCCTATCTTGCAAGGCACTCTAGGTGGACTCAAACCTCCAACCTTTCAGTTAGCAGCCAAGCACCATTTGTAACACCCAGGGACTCCTTGAACTGGAGATGAGGTGCTACATTTTGCTGGTTACTTACCCATCTCCATCTGCTCCTTCATCCTTCCTAACAGATATTCACTCCTCCCTCCAGGCAGTCCACATGCCTGGGATGAAGCTGCCCCATCCCCAATTCCAGGGGTAGACTCTTAAGCTGGTTTAAGACAATCAATGCCTTTCATTCCATTCATCCTGACACAGTCATTGGTTCAGGGATGAGCATGTGACATTAGTGTCCAATCGGAGTGCATATCAGGCTCTTTGCTCAAAGGACAATAAGATGGACAAACTCTGATACATGCAACACATGGAGGCATCTCATGAACGCTATGTTGAGTGAAAGAAGCCAGACACAAATGGATACAATTGTGTAATTCCACTTCTATGAAATATAAGAATAAGCACAACTAAGAGTATTATCTTTTCCTCCTTGTGATGTAGTTGTGGTGGAACTGTGGTGGCCATCTTGATACCAGCCAGAAGAGGCTGAGCCAAGAGAAACACTGAGAAGCCAATCCCGAGGTACTCCCTACTTCCGGATCTCCTGTTATATGTGCCAATAAACTTACTTATTGTTTGAATTTTTTGTCATTACAGCGAAAAAGTATTCCAGTTGAGTTTCACATTAAGCCTCCATTAGGAACTTTGCCGAGTAGCAGGTAATCCTTTGAGTGAAGCAGAAGGAAGACAGGTGGGTAGAATTAGAGCCTCTCAGGAGTCTAAGAATTTTATTCACAAAGTTGTTGCTATTTTGGTGTAAATGCTTTGACTCTGTTTATTTCTTCAGTGGTTCTAAAAATGACACCAACCTTCTCTTTTGCTTACAAAGGGTTAAACATCCATCCAATAATTATTTACTTAAAATAACTAACATTTGAGTGAAATAATGTCAGACACTATTCTAAGTATCTCAATTCCATTAGCTCATTTAATTCTCATAAAAATTCTGTGAAGTAGATATCATTATCCCCATTTC